ATTGATGTCAGTTCATGATCAAACGAGTGAATTCATATTACATATATTTATATATTAACTGGTATTTTGGTGAGCGCTAGTCAGCACTAGACTGACGTTTTTGCTTATATGGGAATCACTAACTGAACGTACCTTCATCTCACTGAGTGATGGTATGCCTACGGAGATTTAATTTAAAGATATAATCAATAGTGCTCTGAGCCCCCTCTTGCGCGACTGGTATTAGCTGTGATTTGTTCATGTTATTTTGAAAATGCCAAGTCTATCTGGCAAAGGCAGAAGAGAAAAGACTTGGTAACAGAGTGTTTATTAGGAACCTGATTAAAACATTTGGGAAAATTATGTAAAACCTATTTGAAAACTGTTATTTGCACAAATCTTCCATACTGTGCAACTTCTACCCTTCAGATTGTGTTCTACTTTTGTCTTCCCTTCGTGTCTCCAGTGTTTAGCCGCAATATGCTGGTTCATTTGCTCTCTCTGACGTCTAATCTATCTTTACGCTATTTGATATTTTTACGTGCCGATAAACGCCTCTTCAAATACTACTGATAAATTTTATAAGTAACACACACCAAACCAGTACAAATGCTTCAATGATGCCGGTAGGTTCGGTTCTTAGTGGTAACACTATCAGTTACTGGAAATACAGGTGCATCCGGATGACGCGTCTCAAGTGGGAAGAAATGATTCTATCTCCCACCCTTTGGATGCCACTGCTTTACACCACCAACTAAGTAACGGCATAGTAATCACAAAGCATCGTCAAACCGCCCATACTAGTAGCTGACATACCAGCATCAAGAACGATCAGTTCCATCCGATTAGGATCAACCAATGGGAAATACACATTAGTAAACTTGAACAAAGCAAGAGCGACAGATGTAGCCGGGAAATATGGGTTCATCTTTTAAATATTTTAAGAATTATTCTCAGCTGGCTAAGACCTGAAAAATATGAGAAAAATATAAATTTCATTAAAGATTTAGATATACTTTCTTCGCGATAACAAGGAGTAATTGATGGAAGCTAAGAGTAATATCAGTGTAGAATGATGTAAGTTGTTAAACTATCAATAGCTAAGTGAACTGACAAATCATGTGCTGATCAAAATGCAAAGCTGCGCATCCTCATCACGGAACAAAGCATAGAATGGCAGTCAAACCTCTCTCCACCTCAACTTCATCGCCTTAGAAAAGTCCTTCGATAGATAGCGTTGACCGTGAAGTGAACTGGAAACTGCTCCAATACTGCGTGTACCTCAAATTTTTATAAACCTCATTCAACATCCGGCGATATGACAATGCCACATGTCAGGTGATCCACAACGGAAAACTCAGTGAGGCATTCGAAGTACATACAGGAGCAAGACAAAACTGCCTATCATCACCGATGATATTCTTAATTGTGGTGGGCTGGATAATGCATCAGAATGTAGGCAAGGAGGAGTCAGGAACACGTTGGAAGAACAAGAAAGCTCCATCTACAAAATCTGGATTTCGCAGATGATATATGTCCAATGTCACACAAACTCGAAGACTTGCAGGCGAAAACCAGCAAACTGGCCGAAGAAGCTGGTAGCAAAGACAGGACAGATTTCAGGTGAACATATAGAAGAAGGAGGTGATGGAGATAACCAACGAACCACAGCAACAGCAATAACAACCGGCACCAATTGCCATCAATGAGAGAGATTTAACAGAGGTTACTTCCTTCACTTATCTAGGAAGCATGGCTTCAACCACAGGCAGCCGGAAAGGATGAAGATGTCAAAGCCAGCCAGCCAGGCAGAATCAGAAGGGCAAGATACACCTTCATCAACCTGAAGCCAGTTCGGAAATCTTCAGTACTAACTCAGCCAGCATAAAGAAGAAGATTTGGATTCTCAACATCCATGTCAAGTTGGCCCTTCTATACAGGTCAGAAACTTGGCTAGCGCGTGACAAGAATCATTTGCAGACCTTTATCAACAACTGCCTCCTTCGCTAGCTCTATACTGACGAACAAATGACTGGCTGACCAGAAAGAATTAGCAACAAGAAACACTGGCTGGCAACAAACCAACAGGCGAGAGCCGACTGCTCAAAAACTTTGTAGGAGAAATGGGGGATGGATTGGGCATACATCGAGGAGACCGGTGAATGAAATCGCGCTCAATGCAGGCCACCACATTTATCTAATCTACAAATCTTGTATACTGTTTCATAATATCACTGCCTGTGTTATGTGGTTGACTTTCAATAAGCCTTCGATGGTTCGTTATTGGTAGGATCTCTTATAAATCTTTCAAGCTTTCATAACACACCACTCTGCAACCGATTAACGTTTACCCCCCAACCCACACTGTCTCAACAATACTAGAGTTAAAGCTTGGGTTGTGATTCCGAAACTCTGAAATACGAAGTACTTAGGCTAACCAGCCACCTCTAATTGCATCTACTAATTCAACTGATCCTCAAGGAGCCAGCTATATTGGTTGTTGCTGTAGGAACCTAATTTCTAATGCTCGGCAACACCTTTCAGTGTGGTTAAATAAAGGTGATGTTAAAACTGTTAACAGTTCTCTATTGGACTACCTCGTACAAACAGGCCACAAAGTTAACATGAGCGAATCCTTCTCTGTCACCTACTGGGTGTCAAATAAATTACCAAAGGCCTCTAAATAATGAATACTACAAACACCACAGGCCATTGTGATTCGGAGTTCTGTGTGCAAACGAAGTAGGTCCAGCCAATAACTCAACCTTGGCTTGCTGTGAAGCCTATAAATTCTGTATTAATTTCCTTAATTGCTCCAAATACATTTAATCCTACTCCAAAAATTTGGTGGAGTTAGGTGGATGACACTTTCACAGTATTAAAAACAGAACATATCTCTAGCTTCTTGACACACATAAACTCACTAGTGGAGGGAATAAAATTCACATTTGAAGCCGAAAATGAGCAAGGAGAATTAGCTATGTTAGATTGTAAAATAAAACAAATAGAAGAAGGCAAACTAAACACTAGTGCTTATAGAAAACCAACGCATTCTAATAGATATTTAGACTTTAATTCATCTCATCCTTTAACTGTTAAGGCAGGCTTAGTTAAGTGTTTAACAAACCAAGCAATGGCACTAAGTAGCACAAAAAAGACCTAAATGACGACATAAAACAGATAGAAGAAGCGTTGGTGTTGAATAACTGTCCTATAAAATTCATTAGGAAGATCAGTAAAGGCCAAAAGCAAAATGAAAATAATGGTGAAGCTAATAATGATAACATAAATAAGAGAGAATATAAGGCATCTACAGTTACACCATATAAGGAGGGGACATCTGAGGCCCTATGTAGCAGGGATTAGGGTGCCATTCAAACCTACAAACTCACTCAGGTAGGATAAGTTCTGTAGGCTAAAGGACCCTGTTGACCCAATTAGACAAAATAATATAATTTAAAAAATACCTTGCAATGACTGTGAAGCCAACCTGACAGGTCAAACTGGAGAAACGGCGGTTATCAGACTATTAGAACAGAAGAAATTACCTAAGTGTAGAATAACTGATCCCACGAAGATGAGTAAATTAGAAAAAAGCTCAGCAGTTGCACTGCATGCATAAACATACAACCACACAATGGGGTGGTGGGACAGAGTCAAAATTCCAAAAAATAATATATAGGTAGGTGGAAAGAGAGATTGATTAATGAATCCTGCTTCATCGAGTCTACACCCAACACATGCAACAGAAATTACTCAATGCAAATACCAGAGATATGGAAGATATTATTACCACCAGTCAGTCAAATCAGAAGAGGATAATAAATAATCTTAAAATTATATTACAATTCACGTACATCATAACATTCTGACAAGTTGTCAGACAGAAAGCTAACAGAAGCAGAGGAAAGCGTACTGATGAAAGGAATGAACTTCAACATTAGCAACAAAAGATTAAAACCTGAAGATATTATTCCTGTAATTGAAACAGCACTCGAAGGACAAGACAAGCAAAAAGCAGAACTGGTACGAGCACAATGTGCATTAACCTTAGAAAAGCAGAAAGCAGAAAAACTGAATGTAACGAAGGAGGAACTAAAAGCACTCCAAGACATAAAAGCGGACAAATCCATTGTCATTACTCAAGCAGACAAAGGAAACATAACAGTAATACTTAACAAAACGACATATAATGAAAAGATGAATGAACATCTACAATCTGGACCCTATACCCTAATGACGAAGTCAGCTGAAACAATCACAAACAAAACGATGAAAGAAACAGCAAAGGTGGTTAGACAGATGAAAGAAGTAATTGGTAAGTCAAAATGGTTTGAAATTATGCCAAAATCATGCAATATACCCAGAATATATTGCAAGATAAAATTGCATAAAGAGGGATATCCAATAAGACCGATTGTAGACTTCAGAAACACACCGACGTATATGCTATCAAGATTTCTCTCGACAATACTAAGACCAACAAGAGACAACTCAAAAGCTAGAATAGTAGATTCATTTGAATTAGTGAAGCGACTAAAAACCACTAAAATAGAGGAAGATGAAATACTAGTCAGCTTTGATGTAAACAGTCTCTATACGAAAATACCCATTCAAATGGCCATGAATGCACTGAAAGAGAAACTAAAAGAAGATAATGGCCTAAAAGACAGAACACAGTTATCCGTAGAAGAGATAATAAAAGGGGTGGAATTCTGTCTGACAACAACATATTTCACATTCGAAGGGAAGATATACCAACAAAATGAAGGAGTAGCCATGGGATCGCCTATCTCACCAATAATAGCTGACATATTCATGGATTATTGGGAAGAGAATGCCCTTAAACCATTCAGGTCATCACTAAAATGTTGGTGGAGATATGTAGACGACACACTAGTAATAGTGAAGAAAAAAGATATTGAGAGACTCTTCTCACACATAAACAGCCATGTCGACTCAATAAAATTCACTATGGAAGTAGAGAATGAAATTGGGGAACTGCCTATGTTAGACTGCAAAATACAAAGAATAACAGATGGTAGCATTAAAACGACGCTATATAGGAAAACCACACACTCTGGAAGATTCCTTGATTATTACTCAGCTCATCCACTCACGGTAAAACGAGGATTAATACAAGGTCTTGCAGATAGAATACGTAGACTTACAACAACGCCAGAGGACCAGTGTAAAGAAATAAACGTCCTATTCAAAATGCTACTCGAAAACAACTACCCAAAAGAATTTATAAAAGATAATATAAAAAAGAGAAAAAAGAGAGTAAAACCGGAGAATAACAAGATGGAAGAATGCAAAAAGGCAGTCACAATACCATATAAAAATGGTACATCAGAGGCAATTCAAAGAAACCTCAAAAATATCGGCATTCACACAACTTTTAAACCGACAAATCTAATCAAAAATAAAATAAATCAACTGAAAGATCCCATAAAAATGATGGATAAAAACAACTTAATTTACAAAATATCTTGTGCTGACTGTCCGACTAAATATGTGGGGCAAACGTCCAGATCACTCAAAATAAGAGTGAATGAACATAAACGCCTAACCAAAGGTCAGCCAACAGGAACACAAGCCTACAAGAATCTTGAAAAAAATTCATCGATAGCTGCACATGCATGGGACAAAAACCACAATATCGATTGGAACAATGTGTGTATTCTAAAAACTAACATGAACAAGTGGAAAGAAAGACTTATAACAGAATCGATATTCATTAAGGTCACACCAGATACATGTAACGAGGGTGACTCAGTACAACTACCAACAACTTGGAATATAATTCTGGATACAAAAACATGAACTAACGTGGGATATAACTCAAATACAAAAAAAAAAACATGAATGAGCAAAAAATAATGAACTATATATATGAGTACAAATCATAAATGTGTGAATCAAACAATTCTAACAGTGGTGTGAACACGGGCAGTAATTTTGCTCGAAATATTACCAATAACAAAACTTATCATTGTGGGTAAACTATTGAAATATAATTATACTTTATTTGATCTAATCCACAATGCTCAAACTTTTTACTGATATTAATTCTAACAAGTTATTTATTGATTTTACTATAAAAGCATCTTATTTCGCATCTGATTGTACTTGATTGATAACACTAATATTATTTCTGAATAAACTTGATCTTATATTGATTTTTATTCAAATGTTTAATCAATTTTTACTCATTTATATAAATGAAGCAAGAAAGTTATGTGAGTAGTACCTTGATATGATTATGAGCAGTAACAATTTGTGCTCGAAACGTCATCAGTTAATATTAATGTACAACACTGCGTGATTTATCAAAATAAAATCTTATCTATAATGCAGTTATACTCTATCACAGTGTATATCAATAATACTTAATTTTTCTGATACTCAGTTCATTTTAGTGTTATGTGTGATGCATATTACCTCTCTCTCTCTCTCTGTTACTAACACTTTTCAAATGTAATCTATTGATTTGATGTATTTCTTGAATTATTACTGTCCTATAAATTTAGATCCTGATGAAGACGAATTTATTGAGAAGAATATTCTTTGTTTGTTTATTGATCAGTCTTTCAACTAATTTTTCTCCAGACTGTACTCAGCTGATGAGAAGCTGACAAAACTACTTTTGTATTCGTTTATGCGAGTTTGACCACGGATTGATATGAATTAGAGAACCACTAAAACCCAGCCAGGGGGTACTGGACAGCTGTTTCCTCCTAGTTTGGGATTTATTGTCAGTGCGCTCCCGTTGCCATAGTTCGAGAGCAGGACCTTGTAACCGGAAGGTCCTGGGTTCGAACCCCAGCGGATGCTTACTGCCGATGATTCTCAGACTAAGATGAAACAGCTGTCCAGTACTCCAGTTCTGGTTTTCAAAGCTTCTCTAACTGATATCAATCGTGGTCAGACTCGTATAAACAAATCTAATACTTACTTCTGTATTCGTTCTATTCAAAATAAAGATATATTGAATCAATAGTTATTGATCGCTCAACTGCTCACTTTTCTGTCTCAGTTACCATGATAATATTGATTTTGTGTGCTTTTTAATTGAGATTGATTTGAGATACTTACGAAAGCAACACTAGAAAAAAAATGTTGTGTATTGATTGTACTATAATAGATGACTACACACACAAAGACACAAATCAACTGATCAATAAGATGTTACCTAGACAACTATTATCCGTGTTGTCATAGTATCAAATTAGTGAAGCGTTTTACAACAATCTTGGATGTGTGTGCGTGTGCATATGTGTGGTGAAGTTTTATAGATAGGTAAATACAGCATCTCAAAAGCTGACTAGATATTGATTACTAAAGTAACACTGTGTTCATAGTGGGACGTCCATTAAATATGCCTAAGATCTAACCACTTCTTATATGAAGAGACTCTTATCCGATTTCACTTAAACGGCCTCAAATTAATCCATCTAAATGTCATATTGTTAATTTTAGTTTCAGATGAGAAAAAGACTCGCGTGTACCGATTTAGTCCCATGATTTATGTAACACTGACAGCACTGTAATGGGGAGTAAATCGAACATCTCTCATCTTGGGATCAGTTTCTCTTCAAATCTCTGTTGGTCGTCTCATATCCTGGGGATTTCTAAGAAATTTTTCCCTTAACTTTTGGCATAAAGGAGTTGAGACTTTTTACTGGCATAACTCAACCCCCACCTCTTCTCTTACAATTTATCAGTTCATGTATTCTACCCGTTCACCTTCTTTATTGTTCCACACACACCCATTCTTGCCTGGACTTCTCAATAAAGACTATATCATACTACGTGTAACACTGAAGGCTGTAAGCAGTAAGGGTTAGTAATGTACTTTGACTCAAATAACTAACAATGTAGTCAATGGACATTTCAATTCAATTCTTGCAAGCAGTTGGCTAAAGTTATCTTGTCTCATAGTGAACATCCTCCTCTTTATTCTCAACTTTTGCCTTGTATCTCTTTGGAGATGACACCAGAAGAAACTTCACAAGAATTTATGTTCATGCAGCTACTAAATACAAAAATGCTACCATACCACGATATTTAGCAGTGAGTTTTGTGTGAAGAGACAGTCAGAAAACAACATAAACTTTTTAAATCAGTAACTGAACTGCACATTATAAGGAAAGATTATTATTATAATTGTTTCCTTTAATTCCTAGAGGAACATAGGACTTCAACCAAACGTCTCCATTGAGTTCAGTTCTCTGCTAAAGTCTTCACCTGCCTCCAAGTCTGCCCACAAGCTGTCATCTCCTCTTCACATGACCTCCTCCAAGTCACCCACCCTCGCACTGACGACCAACCCGCCACTTCCCTTTCGGGTTCCACTCGATCAATGGCTTGTCTAGTGATGTCACTTGATGGTTTGTTTTCTCAGAGTATGGCCAGCCAATCCACTTCCATTTCTTCCTGCCTATTTGTTTCACAATCGGTTCCTGCTGAGTTGGTTCGGTCATTGCCAGAGATCCCATCCTGTTGCTGATCTTTTCTGACTGGTCATCTGATCTTGAGCGAAGTGTTGAGCGAAGACAGCTGTTGATGAAGGTCTGTAGTTTGTTTGAGATGCTCTTTATGACGCGCAGTGCAATTCTCTGATCCGTATATTAGCACTGACTGACTTCACATTGGAACTGGAAAACCGGATCTTATTTTTCATGCTGAATGCTGAGTGTTGACCTCCACACAGACTTGAGAGTAGTGAAAGCTTGTCTTGCTTTTCCGATCCTCGCTGTTTTGATATCCTCGTCAGTTCCGTGTGCCTGTAGTTGAAACGATGCTTCCCAGGTCGGTTGGTGAAGGAGGTTGTTTCCTTCAGGTTCCTTCCATTTATGCTGATTGTTGTCTGTTGTTAATCTTGTTCAGGAATCTTCATCACCTCTGTTTTCTCTATGTTCACCTGAAGTCCTATCTTCTCTGGATGCTTCTTCTGCCAACTTGTTATTATTATTATTACATGTATTATCTACAATATTGCCTACTTATAATTCATTATCTTTCCACCAACCTTTAGGCTTTTGTGGTTTTATTTATTTAATTTTATGCAAGTACATATTTATAAAAGGAGCTAACTTGTTGCAACGCGTACTAAAAGAACGCTGAAAATTCCATTCGGTATCATTATATTATTGCTGTTTGGAATAAAGTGGTTATAATAATAATTATTATTATAAAAATTATATAGGGCTTCAGTTTTTATTTCCTTTAAGTTCCCAGTGGAACATAGGGCTTCAAACTGGAGGCTTGACGTTTCGGCAGCAGTAGTGTTTATTTATACGAGATGGGGTTGCTAGCCACCTTATGCCCGACCTTCCCTCTTTACCAGTCTTATTACTGACTTGGCAAGGTAAAGGAATGCGTCGGCCGGGGGTCGAACCCCGGACCACCTGCGTGATCGGTGAGCATTCTACCTCTGTGCCACAGACGCATATTTCTATTACACTATGATCTCTGAAATCACTGCCACAAGACTACCAGTTTCATTTCATTTTCTCTCAAAATGAAGCCTTCAGTGTAACCTTCGAACACCTAACCCGTCCTTTCACATTCAACAGCCTGTTGCATGTGCATGTCTGACCTAACTTGGAGGTCTGTCTCCTCAGTGGATGTCCAACCCAACTTTATTTCCTCCTGCATAAATGGAGAAGGATTATAACGTCTGGGATTAAAGATTACATACAACTCCTAACTGACCAATGGGTTCCTTATTTGTCGGAATTCATAAAAACAAGGCTTATCTACTAACGGGGAGGAGCAGACAATGCGAAACTGACTCATACTTGAGTTATTTAACAGTGTAACCACAGCAATTACCGCATAACATCGATTTATAGATCAAAGTGCCAGCTAAATAATGGAGAAGATTGGTACCTCAGGTGGATCATTTTGGTTTAGTTGTGTATTTTTAGTTGGATAGTTTAATTTTTTTTATTCCTTCACGTTCCCAGTGGAACATAGGGCTTCAAGCTAGAGGCTTTAAGTTTCTGTAGCGGTGTTTATTTTTACAGGATGGGATTGCCAGCCTCATGCCCAACCTTTCCTCTTCACCAGCTTTTATTTCTGGCTCAGCGAGATAAAGGAGTTCGTCGGCCGGGGATCGAACCCCGAACCATGTGCATGGTCGGCGAGCGTCCTAACCGCTATGCCACCGACGCACAAAGCGCTCCCGCGCCGGTAATCGAACCCAGGCCGCCTGGGTGAGAGCCAGGAATCCTAACCACTAGATGGTTTAATTGAGGAGGTTTTATTATCATCCTACAGACAGCATCGTCAGTGCTTACTTGAGTGTGAACTGAGTCGCTTAGAATTCTCCGTGAGAATCACTTGTCTACTTCTCCTGATGACCTCAACAGGGATTGGACACTTTTAGAAATGTTTAACAATCCTTGGGTTAATTTGTATTGGTATCAATATTTACTCTATGAACCCAGTATTTGGCCTATTGACTGATAAAACCAATATCTTCCAATATTATATATAATGCAAAGTCCTCCACCAATTCACT